TGAGGTGTAATCCATACCAAAGGCTGTAGTTTTTGATCTTCATCAGTAAGTGCTTCAAGTCCTCTTCACTTTCAGCAAGCAAGGTTATACTGTCTGCATATTGCAGGTTGTTAATGAGTCCTTCTCCGATCCTGATGCCATGTTCTTCTTCATACAGTCCACCTTCTCAGATTATCTGCTTAGCATATGGATTGAACACGTGTGGTAAAAGGATACAACTGCAACATACACTCTTCCTGATTTTAAACCACACAGGATTCCTTGTTCCATTTGAATGACTATCTCCTGGTCGATGTACAGGTATCGAAGGAAGAAGTCCAAGCTGCACTGAAGGAACTGACAAAAAACCAAGGCTCCAAGAATTGATGGGGTGCCCACTGAGATGTTTCAACAAATGGATGCAGCTCTGGAGGCACTTACTTGTTTATGCCGAGAAGTTTGGGAGATAGCTGTCTGCCCAACTGACTGGACAAGATCCATACCTGTGCCCATTCCAGAGAAAGGTGATCCAACAGAATGATCAAACAATAGCATTAATATCACATCTGAGTAAATGTTTGTTGAAAATCAAAAAGTACTGCAGCAGTATATCGACGGGGAACTGCCAGAAATTCAAACCAGATTGAGAAGAGGATGTGGGACGAGGGAGATCACTACCAGTGTCAGATGGGTCTTGGCTAAAAGCAAAGATCACCAGAAAGATGCTTACCCGTGTTTTATCGACTGTGCAAAGGCACTGGACTGCGAGGCTCCTAACACATTGTGGGTAACACTGAGAAGAAAGGGAATTCCAGAACACTTCACTGTGCTCATGAGGAACCTGCACATAGACCAGGAGGCTGTCGTTTGAAGACATGGTTTAACTAGACATTAGTACTTGATTTTTAAAACTGGAAATTTTTAAAATTTCAACCACACTTGGCTGAAAGGCTGACGTTTAGGTGCACCCAGAAAGGTGCCTCAGGAGAAAGCCTGGTGGTCCACTCTGGGAAAATCAGTCACTGGGACCTGCTCTGACACCCACTGGGTCAGGGTCAGCAGCAGAGAGAGAGAGAGGCAGAGAGAGGGGCAGGGAGACAGACCACAAACCCACCGAGAGGAGTAGATTCTGACCCACAGCGCCCCTAGAGGACAGAGGGGAACTGCCCACAGGGTCTCCAAGGCTGTCAGTCTTCTCAGAAGCAGACTACCTCATCTTCCTCCCACGGAGCGGCTGGTGTCTTTGAATTGCCAACCTTCAAGTTAGTAGCCATGTACTTTAAGCACTGAGCCACCGGGGCTCCACATAACTGCTAGAACCATTTTTATGTGTATTCTTAACATGGCCACCAGAAACTCTGCGATCTCCTCTGTCCTTCCTCCACTGGACGGGGCTGCCCCGCGTGGCGCCAAACGCCAGGAAGCCAGCTCACACCCATGATCTGCCTTTCAGATACACAACATAACTGGACTCTGCAGCTCCTGCAGGGGTTTCTTTATTTAACTTTAAAATCTGGATCCGATTCACCACTTGTGGAGAGCGAGGACCCAGATAACAGCAGCCCCTCGGCAGTTTTCTTTCTCACCTCACAAGACGAGGAAGCACGGATACCTCGTCCAATGATGGAAGACCAACAGGGCCCACCAAGAGCTCAGAGCAGCCCCAGAGGAACCTGAAAGGATCTGCAGACACAGTGTGGGGGCTGCTGCTGGGGGCACTCCTTCCTGCTGTGGCCTCGGTGAGGGGCACGGCTCCCGCTTTTGGAGGAAATGAGATGGGAAATACTCGCCCTGTCCTGAGTTTGCTTCTAAGCCTGAGATGCCGGTGACAAACCCAGTCTGTGTGGCCACAGCTTGCGCAGCCAGGGCCCTGATGCCAGACACAGGCTCCCGGTCACTGTCAGAGGGAGACTCTGGGTACCAACCTCAGCTTCCCCCTGATCACTGGGCAGCAGCTATGGTGTGGAGGCACACGGGGCAGTCCCAGGGCCTTTGCCCCCAACCACACCTTGATGTGCTCGTGGAGCTGGGCCTTGTGTAGCCGGGACACTCCCCCCGCCCCCATCATCCTGAGGCCTCTGCCTGTCCCCCCATCCTCC